ATCTGTTTATATCAGCATTAATATGCTATGGCATTTCAGGAGTTCCCTATTAGCAGCTGTCCATGATTTCAGTTTAACACTTTAGACGTGACTGTGCAACCTGATCTGCAAATACTTTTTTTAACAGAGACATGAAAAACACACCATGTAAGACAGCTAAACAAGATTGACTCGAGCAGTTTAGGCTCAGCTCACATTTCAAGCCCCATCAGCAAAAGGCATTAGCTGCCTTCAGTGGTATTTGTTGAAGAGAATTCTCTCTCTCACACAACCGGGATGAAGGTCTTGCTGGCACTGCCTGCAAACAAGCTAACAGCACAAACCCCTTCTGACAGGTACCTCGCAGGAGCTGAGGGCTGGTTGCTGCAATTCCATGCTGTCACTCGCACGCAGACCGTGGACCACTGCTGGCAGGTGGACACATGACAGAAAGTCAGACTGCTGCTGCCAAAAAGCCAAAAATCAATAATTAGAGCAAGTGTTAGATTTATTCCCCATCTCACCTCTGTCTAGCCAAGGAAACTACATTTAGTTTTGCCTAAATAAACAGCCTGAACTTGTTTCAGTTACTGTGGGTAATCAATATAGACGCTCAGCATCAGGCTGGGGGCTGCTGCCCCCCTCTCCTGAAAGAGCCGGCCAGAGGCAGAGCAGAAAACACCGGGTATGGTCTTTTCCGCTTATGTGCTTGGGAGAAAGCTTCCCCTGTGCAAGAGCAGAAAGCATCTGCTTGTTGTAGCTGGGGAAAGCAGCCCCAGTTCACGTGGGTTACTCGAGTCAACTCAAGGCTTAACGGACCTGTGTCAATGAAATCTTTGTAATACCTGACTACCAGAAAGCATTTTTTTTATTATTATTATTTTTGATGGTCAGTGCAACACAGAAAGGAAATTTCTGTCTCTGCTAAAACCAAGACAATCCAGATCAGAATGGATACGGCTGTTCTAGAAGTCAGAAATTTAGAAATTCAAGTACAGTTTTATCAAAACTGCCTACTAAAAGTAACCTAATAAAGCTAGATTGAAGAGTTCAACAGATTAGATGTCAACCCAGTCAATGCAATACATACAGAACAAATTTCAGCAGCAGCAGAGGTGACATCTGACAATCAATTGCTTAGTGGAAAAAAGTTTTCATACTATTTCATGAAAAATTGTAAAGTGATGTTGCATTCTGCCATATACAAAATCAGCAGATATCAAAATAACCAGCAATTAAAAGAAGTCTCAGATTTTATATTTTTCCTGGAAATTCTTTTTCACCTGTGGTTAAGGCCACCTTGCCTGCAGACAGGAGATGCTCACAGCTGCTCACAGATACCAGCTAAGCCAGATCATTTCAGAGGACATGGAGCACATGCTAACACTTCCATCTGAAAAAGGTCAAAATCCAAAAACCAAGGAGAAATATCCTCTCTGGCCATTTGAAAGGTGACAAAAATGAGGTACAGAGGAGTCCAAGGTTTACCTAGAACACTCTCTCCAGCAGCACCTCCAGCTACATTTCAATACAAACCTTTTCCATTTCAAGCTCATTCTTCACTTTAACACAACTGTATTTCAATAATGCTGTTCAATGTTGCAAAAAAGCTTAAAAGTAAAATTTCTCTCCTGTATCTTCCCACCTCAGCTCCAGGACTATACAGTTGGCGCCTTGGCATTTCACTCTCTGCTGACAGACAGATTAGGTGGGAGAAAAGAAAAAAACAAACCCAAAAAACCTGTTGCCCTGATGATGCCTGGAGAGTCCGTGCAGCTCTTCACATTATACGGCTTCCCACCAGCGACTCTGTGTCATGGGCAGTCTCCTCCCAAGGCTTGTACAGCAGACTCCTGTTCAAGAGGAACATAAGCTTTTTAGGCAGACATATGTTGCTTATTAGCTCGGATCACCGAAGGTGCTGGATGAGTAGCAATGCCTCCCTGATGAGGGAATACGGCGTTTCCACTATCCATAAAAATTTTGCAAATCCAGCTGTCTCCCAGCCCCACCGTACCACTGTAGCTGTTTTTCCAGCTGCGTGCCATCTTTTTGGAAGGAGTGTCAAAAAGAACTGCAGTACCATCTTGTGTGAAACAGGATTTGGAGCCAGCAAGGCAGGCCTTCCAGCAAATCCTCTTGCCCAAATATTCACATTTGGGTCAATATGGGCTTGACGAACAATAAGCCAAAGTTTTCAGGGCTAGGGAGGACATCGTGGTTCAAGTCAGGCTTGTAAAGAAAACAAACACAAAGGAGCCATTAAGAGAAGACACACAAGTTGAGAGATACTAATCAGTTTTATTTTATAAATACAGATGAGCTTTCCCGCAATTACCAACATAGTTTCAATGTGTCATTTACTATGGGATATTCTGGTTTTGCTTATTTTAAATACCTGGTCAAGCAAGGATAAGCCAATGCTGTTGTGCTTGCTATAAAAATATAGTGGGATATGATCTTCCAAAACTAATATTCTCAAAAATCTTAGGAATTCCTAGTGAGGGGAAAAGATTGCAATGAAATGTTTTCTCCACTTGAAGACATTTGCAGACATTTAACAGTGTCACAGCTGTGCAGGAACTGAAAGGCTCTTGACAGTTTAAAGCACACTGTGATATATCATCTCACCTTCAAACCTACTATTGGTTTCTCTCCCACTACGCTGTTTTCCAAGTAATTTACAGGGGCAAAAAAAAAATCAACACAAAAAAGCAAGCTATGAGGTGGTGTCAGTCTGTACAATCCCCCATCCTCACAGCAACGAGAAGTTTGTCAATGCTTTAATTAGCCTGATGAGGCTGTTCCCCTTCGCACCACCTTCTGTACAGAAAGGGATAAAAGTGGAAGGGAAACATGGGGACAATTTAAGGCCTACTAAACATATATCCATAGAAAGCCCGTCAAAGAAGCTTTGTGGGACAGATGCAGAAATCAAGCATCGTGTTTAACACACTAACAATTACAGGGCTCAAACAGGAACAGTAACACAACATTAGGGAGGAAAACTAGACTTCATTTGGTCGGGTGCAACCTGAGAAAATGCGCAACTAATGAAATAAAAAAAAATAATTCCAAAGTCCCACTGATGCTCTATGAACCTAGTTTCACACGTCACTTAATTGCACCGAGACACTCCGTGTTTGCCTACGAAACATAGCGACTTCACAACTACTCTTTGGGTTGCTTTGAAAAGTCACCATCACACATAAGCTAATGCCTTTCCGTTACAGAGGAAAACGAGTGTGCCTACAAACAAGAAGGTCTGTGCTGCTTTGAGCCAGCCAGATCTCATCCCACAGGGTGCACGACTGACTCAGTGTTACTGAATTTCACCTAAAATTATACTGCTATCAGAAGACAGCAAGATACAGTCACAGGACAGAGTATCTTATGCCCACTTCATTAATAAGTGCTCTGCTTTCAGGTGTTCATTTCTTTCTCTCTATGCCAAAGCACAGCAAGAGCTTCCTACCTATCTCTTCTCAAAGATGATAGCAGTGCTTTAAGCTGCTGCAGCATTTCCTTTAGGGAAGCTTTTCATGAGGTTGTAACGAAGGAGCTTATTTGGGGGAGAAGATACTCATGAATGTGTCCAACTTCATGCCCAAGTTTGCACCTGAAATCATGCTCAACGTCTTACAGAATCGAGGTCTCTGCTTCTGAGTGTTTCCATCTAGCACATCGTACCGGGACAGACCAAAGACAACGAATCGCTGTAGAAAGGCTCAATCCAACAACTCAATTGCAGACACAACCGTTAAAAGCTAACAGAAGAAATGTGAATATAATTTTAATACAATCATTAAGGTGTTACCTGGAAAAATGCGTATTCTAGAACAGTGCTATTATGTATACTGGTTCTCACATACACGTCTTGTTTTGACAACAGATAGTTGAGATAATACATATCCACATTTTAAAAAGTTAATTTAGGCTAGCCTTACAGTGAAGTTAGGAAAAAGACTAGGTCATTGGTTCAAAAAAAAAAAGCATAGATCAGGGAGGAAAAAAGAAAGCCAGGCATGATGAAGTGGTTTTTATTCTGCTATATACTTTTATATTTGAGAGCTCACAACCGAGCCCAAATTCTTGGGTATACAATATAGAAAGCAAGAGCAACGAAATCCAAACTGAAACAAATACCAGGAATCACAAAGCAGGCTGCAAATTGCTTTCTCATTAGTGCAGCTGAACACGTGTGCCAGTGGTAACCTACCTAACAGCAAACCGCACCTCCAGCAAACCGCTGGAAGTTTCTTCCTTTAAAGGACAGATGGTTAAAAGGATATTAATTTAGACGAATAACGTTAAGTGTCTCCTTTCTAC